CCAGGAACCAGGAGAACCAGCGCTGTTGAAAATAACAAAGTGGATGAAGAGAAGGAGAAAGCAGAACTGGCCGTAAGTACTGGTGTTTAACTTGAAATAGTGGGCTTCGTTTACAATTAAAAAATCCTTTAAAGTTGCTTTCATCCAACGATAGCGGTATTTCCAGGAAGAAGTGGAGATTGCAATGATGAATAACGCTTTTGCACGAACGGTAAGAATTACTTTAAAGTAACAACTAGGCTAAACTAATGGAGAATCCCAAAGTGCATTTCCAGTTTTCTTCTCGACGTCGTTATGCCGTTATGAGTGCTGTTGATGGAATTGAGCTGAGAGATGCGAGCCGAAAAAATAGCGAAGCTGCTGTGGGTTCCCACTTATATCTCATTGATAGGCTTCGCGACTAGCATAGTCTCACTGCAATGATCCACTATGCGTTCGCCTTTCAAATTTTCGCCTTTTCCTTTAAACATAGACGCGTGCGGTGAATTTGCGTATCTTTGCGTATATGAAATAAACCTATGTCACATTTAAGTATGCTATTGAAAAACGCTCTTTAGGGTCACAATGAATTCCTCAATACTGTCAATGGTGACTTATCACGGGTATGTAGCATTCCATTGAACTGGGTCATATGTGGCTGATGAAATGACTTAATTTTGCAGAACCGAGATCGATTTCTCACCATTAACCCCGTTAACAACGAGGGCCGTAGGGTGAGTAGAAAACTTTTTACAGTCATCCTTTATTGCAAGGAGGAGCTACTAAATAATTTTGATGCTTTTAAAAAGAAACTCATATAGTCGCGAGCTCACTCTACTTCTAAACCTCAAAGCGTCGAGGATGGGCGCGTACCAGAAACGCAAGAAAGAAAGGTTTGTTCTTTTTACATTAATCTTCATTTTCTTCTTTGGCATAGGCTATCAACGAAGAAGGCTCATATTCTGAGGGAGATTTACAAGCTTTTCACAGCCAAATGCGGGTATTTACAGACTAGCGATGATGAAGTGTCGGTATCCGTGA